CCCTCATCACTGCAACTCCTCAAGAGATTGCACAGCTCTTCCAGCAGGAGGAGCCGAGATGGAGGCAGACAGACAGATTTGACAGCAAAAACACATTTGATTGACATCGGATACAGAATGATTCATTCCATTCTGATTCCAGTTTATCAATGTTTATCAGCTGTTCAGATGCGTTTCAGATCTTCTTTCAGATCAGTTTCAGCTTTCCCCCATTTGGGGTGCAGCAAAAACTTTCCATTTGAGTCAAGTCACCTCAATCAGCCTCAATCATCAATCCAAAGTTTTCATGTGGCGAAGTCAGGTCACATTGGGTCATATGGCTTTAGCTGATGGATACAGAGATGTTGTTTTGACGGAGCGCTACATTTCAACACATCCTGGTGGGCATTGGACCATAGAGGTGGCAGAAAAGATGAATTTTGATGGTGTATGTACGGGTTACCGTATGATGTATGATGATGTATGTAATTACAATGTCTGATGTTTATATGATTTTATATGATGTTTATGTGTACATTATGTGTACTAAGTAGTAAGTTGGCTCGAGTATACACGCTCACGATACAAGCTCACGATGCCCATGTTCGGTGGCCACAGCGGCTTGTTCCAGAAATTCTTATATAGTATTGTGATATATTATATCATATTGTGTCATATTGTGTTCATAATTCACAAGATTCCATACATTTCCATACACTTGTTTGATCCGGAGATCCGTGTTTCCTTGTTTCCTCTTCCCAGATACCCAGCGTGGTTGCCGTCAATAGACATGCCTGCTAGGTAAATGCTTTGACCTCACAGACGCACCTCATGATGATAATGGAGGCCTGAAACAGACTTGTGTGTACGTGTTTGACATTTCTCTACAGAGAAGAATTTTTGTGCGTTTAAATAGATTGAAATAGTTTGGACATATTTATCATTCCAACATATTCCAACCCCATTCTGTGTCACCCCGGTTCCACATCAGAGAGGACGTGCCAAGTCAGTGAACACGAACAAACATGAGACCTGGAGAAAACGATTGTGACACAGTTTTTAAATTTGAAAACGGTCCCTACTTTTGAGCCCCGAGATTTTGTTTTCTAAAAAGCATGTGCTAAATCAGTGAACACGAACAAACATGAGACCTGGAGAAAACGATTGTGACACAGTTTTTAAATTTGAAAACGGTCCCTACTTTTGAGCCCCGAGATTTTGTTTTCTAAAAAGCATGTGCTAAATCAGTGAAGATGAACATGAGTGAACGATTGTGACACATTTTTAAATTTGAAAACGGTCCCTACTTTTGAGCCCCGAGATTTTGTTTTCTAAAAAGCATGTGCTAAATCAGTGAAGACGAACAAACATGAGACCTGGAGGAAACGATTGTGACACAGTTTTTAAATTTGAAAACGGTCCCTACTTTTGAGCCCCGAGATTTTGTTTTCTAAAAAGCATGTGCTAAATCAGTGAACACGAACAAACATGAGACCTGGAGAAAACGATTGTGACACAGTTTTTAAATTTGAAAACGGTCCCTACTTTTGAGCCCCGAGATTTTGTTTTCTAAAAAGCATGTGCTAAATCAGTGAAGACGAACAAACATGAGACCTGGAGGAAACGATTGTGACACAGTTTTTAAATTTGAAAACGGTCCCTACTTTTGAGCCCCGAGATTTTGTTTTCTAAAAACATGTGCTAAATCAGTGAAGACGAACAAACATGAGACCTGGAGGAAACGATTGTGACACAGTTTTTAAATTTGAAAACGGTCCCTACTTTTGAGCCCCGAGATTTTGTTTTCTAAAAAACATGTGCTAAATCAGTGAAGACGAACAAACATGAGACCTGGAGGAAACGATTGTGACACAGTGTTTATTTTTTTGAAAACGGTCCCTACTTTTGAGCCCCGATATTTTGTTTTCTAAAAAACATGTGCTAAATCAGTGAAGACGAACAAACATGAGACCTGGAGGAAACGATTGTGACACAGTTTTTAAATTTGAAAACGGTCCCTACTTTTGAGCCCCGATATTTTGTTTTCTAAAAAGCATGTGCTAAATCAGTGAAGACGAACAAACATGAGACCTGGAGGAAACGATTGTGACACAGTTTTTAAATTTGAAAACGGTCCCTACTTTTGAGCCCCGATATTTTGTTTTCTAAAAAACATGTGCTAAATCAGTGAAGACGAATGAGACCTGGAGGAAACGATTGTGACACAGTTTTTAAATTTGAAAACGGTCCCTACTTTTGAGCCCCGATATTTTGTTTTCTAAAAAGCATGTGCTAAATCAGTGAAGACGAACAAACATGAGACCTGGAGGAAACGATTGTGACACAGTTTTTAAATTTGAAAACGGTCCCTACTTTTGAGCCCCGATATTTTGTTTTCTAAAAAACATGTGCTAAATCAGTGAAGATGAACAAAGATGAGACCTGGAGGAAACGATTGTGACACAGTTTTTAAATTTGAAAACGGTCCCTACTTTTGAGCCCCGATATTTTGTTTTCTAAAAAGCATGTGCTAAATCAGTGAAGACGAACAAACATGAGACCTGGAGGAAACGATTGTGACACAGTGTTTTAATTTTGAAAACGGTCCCTACTTTTGAGCCCCGATATTTTGTTTTCTAAAAAGCATGTGCTAAATCAGTGAAGACGAACAAACATGAGACCTGGAGGAAACGATTGTGACACAGTTTTTAAATTTGAAAACGGTCCCTACTTTTGAGCCCCGATATTTTGTTTTCTAAAAAGCATGTGCTAAATCAGTGAAGACGAACAAACATGAGACCTGGAGGAAACGATTGTGACACAGTGTTTATTTTTTGAAAACGGTCCCTACTTTTGAGCCCCGATATTTTGTTTTCTAAAAAGCATGTGCTAAATCAGTGAAGACGAACAAACATGAGACCTGGAGGAAACGATTGTGACACAGTGTTTCATTTTTTGAAAACGGTCCCTACTTTTGAGCCCCGCGATTTTGTTTTCTAAAAAGCATGTGCTAAATCAGTGAAGACGAACAAACATGAGACCTGGAGGAAACGATTGTGACACAGTGTTTCATTTTTTGAAAACGGTCCCTACTTTTGAGCCCCGCGATTTTGTTTTCTAAAAAGCATGTGCTAAATCAGTGAAGACGAACAAACATGAGACCTGGAGGAAACGATTGTGACACATTTTTTTTAATTTTTTGAAAACGGTCCCTACTTTTGAGCCCCGATATTTTGTTTTCTAAAAAGCATGTGCTAAATCAGTGAAGACGAACAAACATGAGACCTGGAGGAAACGATTGTGACACAGTGTTTCATTTTTTGAAAACGGTCCCTACCTCGCAGTTTGAATCTGGGGACTTGGGTACCCTTGGCTGGATCTTCTGGGCTAGGCCAAGCAGATGCCCGATGTTCGACGACGATTCGGAGTCCGAGGCGCTCGGCAGAGCGAGAGCGGTCTATGAGGAGATGGAGCACCTTGAGCAGTTCTAGTGGTGGAGATTCAGTTTTCCATTGTTTTGTAAGAGCCTTGTCGCTGATTGATATTCTGTATAGTTATTCTATGTTATTCTATCGTATTCTCGTTTTCAATTAAGGACTGTGTGCTCAGTAGAAGATTGTGCAAGTGAGAAAGAACCTGGCGCACTTTTCCCCAGATTATGCAGATGATTCCAGGGGCGATATTCCTGAACTCATCACTGTTGCAAATTGACCGAAGAGCCAGGACCATTGACACATAGACGTTGATGAGCAGTGCGGTTCGGGCAAAAAAAGGATAGCCTCAAGTGCAACATGTGGTAGAAATGCAAAGAACATGACCAGAGAAACTGAGACAATCACCAGTCAAAACCAACATCTGAAATTTCATCCTATTTTGTCAACTTGTGTTTCATTGCTGGAGAGGAAGTAGAGCTGTCCACAGGTGCATGAATTTTTAACTCCAGAGACACATGGGATCTCCATTGCTCACATTCTGGAAACATACGTTTGTTCGATTTGTACGGGCAATAGGTTCGACGTATTGGGAGATCTTTCCCCGAACCTGCCAACGCGTAAGATATCGCACGATTGAACAATGAAGTGAAACGAAAAATCGCAAAGCAGTCATGATCCATGCTCTGCAGCGAGCTCTTGGCGCTTGAAACATCTTGAAACCGGATTTCACAGCTACAGCTATAACATCCATCTTTTCAAAACACAATGATTTTTTCATCCTGCAAATCAGAGCATACGCTGACTAGTGACTCGTGGTTTGAGGTGGTTGCAAGACATAGCCAAAACGGGCCGGCTTTTTCTTTCCACTGATTGGGCTGCTTCGCATCTTTTGCTAGGAGAGCCCGATATCAACCTGTGAAGGACAGCCGGTACAACCTATGACATTCATCACGATGTCGATGGCGCATGAGTGGCCCCCATGCACATGGCGAGTAAATGCTGAGCTGGAAGCATGGATGCTTCTTGGCCGAGTATTTGATATGGTCTGTTCAATGGATGTCAACATCTATTTCTCTTCGTTTTGCCTGCTGTTCTTCTCTGTTTTGAGGCATTTGCAGCCGGCTGTCCAACTTTTGTTTGTCTCACAGCTGGCACGGCAGCTTGCTAAGCAGCTGGATTGCGAAAGGGGCTGCTGCCAGCCTCCAGTTTTTGAGGCCAGTGTGCCTCTGTCAGACTCCCAGCGTGAGAAACTTCCTGTCCCAGAGAAGTTGAAGTCTTTGTGTTTCTCATTTTCCCTGTTGAGAATGCAAGGCGTTCAATGCCTGGAGCAATCTTTGAAAAAGCATGGAACTCAGGAAATTTTGGAATTTTCAGGTGGTGTGTTATATCCTTTTATATCCTTGTCAAATCAGTGATGTAATGATTTCATTTGTGGCCCTTTGCGGCCACATGTGCAGTTCGAACAGCATTGGAGTTGTCAGCGCTACAACCAATGCTACTTTCCGAAATTGCTCGACATTTTGACACCAGCCCCCCACCTCTGTCGACGCCATCACCTGAGCCTGCTGCGGGATCCTTCCCAATCAGGACCATTTGCAAGTGGCTTCCGCAGAGGAGGAGTCCGAGAAGGACACGAGGCTTTGGGCCGGTCAAGATCCAAACTGACACTTCGTGGCCATTTCGTGTGGCATCTCCACGCCCATCTTAAAGATGGGATGTAGTAAATTATCCGCCAACCTTGTCCACAAGTGCTGAGAATACATTTTCAAACGGCCTAATGGTTTTGAGTTTGTTTAGACTGCTTGGGAAATGCTTTAGATTGATTCTGTCTAACTTTTAGCTGGCCTCGTCTCTTTCTGTTTGATCTAGAGGTTTGCCCGAGTGCCATATATAATTAGACACATGGTTATAGTGAGACTAGGGTACCCCCAAAGCCCATAGTTGATCACCCTATTTTGGTCAGTTTTCCAAGTTTTTTTTGGGGTACATAATGTATCCAGTCCTTTAGTGGATTTTTTCCACCGTAGTTATTGGGTGCCCATATATCAATAAACATACGGTGCATCGCGGGGGCGAGAATCCAGGGTTATACTAATTAATGGTCATTATCGAAGGAAGTTTAGAAGTTTAACTTCCGACAATATGGACAGTTGCAGCAAAGTGGGGAGCACAGTCAGAGAAGAGAAAGGAAGAAGAGAGAAGGTCACAGAAGAGAAAGGCAGAAGAAAGAAGATCAAGATGCGCGCAAATGTAGAAAAGACGCGAACAACTTGTTTCTCGCTCCGGAGGGTCGAGATGAGACATGAGAAGTTGCATGCCGGTGTGGCGTGAAGCACAGTTTGAAGTCGGAATGCACGAAACACCTCGGCTCCCCAACGCTTTTGGAATTTGGGATGTGCAAAAAGTGCACGGCTTTGTGGCGCGATTTGGTGTGTTTCACCTGCCCTTCCCCAGCGGGCCCCAGCCTGACCGTCCTGTGTTTGATGTGGAGGCTCTCAGCGACGACCTCCAGCGTTGAACCTCAACAGCGATGACAAGATGTCAGGACGCATTACTATGGGCAATCGACCATTTTGTTTTCAAGGCTACGCAGAGCTGAGATTCTGGTGTAACATGGTGTAACTGTGCAACTAAGTGATGTCCACACTGGACGGTGTAGCAGGACAGCGTGCAACATCATGCCCTTCAAGATGGTTTGTGATTCTTCAGCCAAGCAGATCCTTTTACCATTGCAGAGTGCTGGGCTGGTCTTGGACTCATCCATGCTGTTTTCCCATATGTTTCTCCAAGATGGAAGAGTAGGAATGGATGACTATCCACTACCACAGGTCAATACAATCACAGCTGAACGCTCATGTGGTCAACAAATACCAAACCTGGAAGACCGGTGAGCTTCTGGCGATGGTTTTGGCCAAGAAGCACCAAGAATGTTGGAAGCACGAAATTGGTATCAAATTCAGTGGGACATGTTGCATGTTAGTGTAAGTGTTGAATATCATGAGAATTTACATATTCAAGTACTGATGTGAAAGCCCCATGCAAAACCTTCCGGTTCTGAGCCATGCATTCTAGGGTAAGCCCAAAAACATCTGCTTAGCTACTAGACTGCATGAATACTTGAGAATTCAAGAGCATTGATCTTCATTTGGATTGCAGCCACCGTCACCAAGCATCAGGTGGTTGCACTGTCAACAGATATTAGTTTACTGGTCGTCCGTCACGAGCACAAAGATACCTACCGAGGGATCTATCGCATTCATATGGCAACAAGTAGCGACTCTGATTCACATAGCTGTGGCCCCAAATTCAGCTTCTGGTTTTAGCACATTTTTGCTGGGATGTTCATTCAAATTGGATGATGTGTTCAATAACCATACTGTCATACTGGCTCGAGCAAATTCGCAAAAACACGTGTGCATTAATTATGATCACTATGGTAGATCTGCTTTTTACCATATTGTGATCTTATCAAGCTGTTACTTTGCAGGTAAAACGATGCAATCATTCCATCCTCTTTTGCACATGTTGTCTTCCTTATTTCGGGTGTGTTCCGACTTACTTTGGCTCAAGTGCTGTCAAAACAAGCGTCTTGGCAGCCGTTCACTATCGTGTGCATTAAACCCCTAACTTGGCTGTGGTTAGGTGATTTAACTGGTTAATAGCCTCAGCATTCGTATCCAGCTTGCCGTAGGCTTGAGCCCCTGAGTTCGGCGTCCATATCAATAAGTACTTGACACCACACCCTAACCAGTGCCATTCCGGGTTGCAGCCAGCGTTGTGTGCGTGTGTTTTGCCATCCCAACGTCCAGGAACAATTTTTCCTTGGACGCTCACAAAAGCCGAGCAGACTTCTTGGGAAGGATAGTTGCGCTGCCGGTGGGGGTTTGCATACGTGCAACACCACCTGAAAACCAACACCCATAAATAAGGTAGACTGATCCCCTAGTAGTAAGTGCGTGACCGTTTGCCTGTAATGCACCAGCCGTCGGGGCGTTGCCATCCATTGCAACACCGACTTACTCAACCCGGCCAGTGAACCACGTTGCATCCGAACCGTCCAGAGGGTGTTGCTTTTGTATTGCGTTTGTGTTCCTGGATCACAATAACATGCCTCCGGGTTTCAAACGTCCATTTAAGGAAGCTGATCCTGGCATTTTGCCATTAGTGTTCCCCCAACTCACGAAGTGAAGCAAGGATGGGTGAACCTCAGCTCATTTTTCACATATCCGTGTCAGTTGGTTTCAAGTGATAAGTACTGGCCCGACGCAATCATCGGCAAGTTCCTTGGTGCATGCATTGGTCAAGTCCTTCAGACAGACGATCCAGGTCTCCAGCTCCGATCAGACAGGCAGAGCTGTATCGGCAATGCCAGATTGCGGTGTGGCGGTACCGAAAGGTGGCAGCTCAGAACCGCGGTGGAAGAGCCTGGAAGAGGAGATGCAAAAGTGCCTGTTTGTCAACTCTTGAGTTTCTAATCTACATTCTCAACTTCGTCTGTGCGCAGGGTGGATCAGCAGCGTATCATGGGAAATTGTAGCAAGCACGGGATCGATTCGACCAGATCAAGTATTGGAATTTCTTGCCAAGGAGGAGAGAACCACTACTGGAAGAGGAAGAGGACAACAGGGATTTGGATTCGGAGGCTCAATACATCTCATCAGAAGAGGAGGTGGGGCCAGAAAGTGACCATCTGCAAGGCATTTGGGCAAATAGGCCGACTGATCTGAGGGAGCCAAATCATCCTCCACAAGGACATCGACCTTCATCAGCATCATCTTCAAGACCGACGCCGTCATGTCGAACATCCTCTTTCCAGGATTTCCGAACCACAGCAAGTGGATCTGACTCAGGTGCGTGTGTCAGTTGACAATCCTCTCTTGAGGCGATTCGCAACCTTGCCTTGGGGTGTTGAGACTTGCATTCAGAGCAACCATCCAGCCGATCAGGTTCCGATCTTTAGGGGTCGAAAGCCAGTGATCTGTCTTGATTTCCATCAAGTATTGGACAAAGTTCGGTTGGGACGTGGAAAGGGCAATTTGAGACTACAAGGGGAACACCTGAATCCACACGTCGGAATTCTGACAAAAGTGTCAAAGAGATTTTCTGTGTGGGTGGTCTCATATTGCCGTGCTCGAAAAATTCCGAGAGCACGTCAGAAGCTGCTGTGCGGGAAGATCTTACATCGATCGTGTCGTCATCACCAGTGACACAACGGGAAGCATTGGAAAGCTTGCGGCAGTCAAGGCCCAAATTGCTCCAAGACTTCTTCAGGACACTTTCATGTGTGAAGACGATTGTACAGTTATCAGAGAGTGGTTTGAAAATTGTCAGCAAGGGATTTGCAGCGAGCCTTGCGGAATTTCGGTGCCAAGGAAGCCCAAATTCAGCTCAGTCTGGTACTACGTCAATTTCGCCGAAGCACTTGAACACCGGTTGCTGTGAACATCTCAATTCAAATCAAGTCCAATAATCAAATTGCGGCGTGTATCGGTATCCATGTACAATAAAAATTGTTGACATCATGCATCACAACCGGCATCAACGCACAGTTGCGGGGCGTTGCCATCCATTGCAACACCGCATTATAAAACCGAGGGGTGAGTTTGTTGTCCGCCGAAAGGTGTAAAAGTCAGGAATCTGCCTCATCTCGTGTCTTGGTTTCCAAACAAATTTCCTCTTGGGGTTGGGGCAAAAAAATCAAAAAAAGCCGAGTTTTGCAACATCTGGGCTCTTTTGGGGTTCCTGGCCCCGGCTGAACCAACAGGAAATATTACCAGTCTTGGTTGTGTAAGAACCTTACATTACTCCATAATCGATCTTTGTAGTTTGACATTTTGCCAAGAGTTCCAGAACCATGCCAACAATAAATGAAGTAATGGCAGTAGATGACGGAAACATGGATACTTCAGCAGAAACCTCATTGCAGATATCTTCCACATCACCTGCCCAGGCACCCCAATCTAGACCACTGCAGGTCAAGAAAAGTAACACCAAAAGCTCAGGTTCTAGGACCAGCAGTGCCAGTTCCTTATCCGGTAGACCACCCATAACCAGAAGCCATCGTGGTCAGAAGGGCTCTTTAGTACCAACGCCAAGGGGTCCATCCAGCGTTGCATCCGGGTCCGGGGGTCATCAGGGTCAAGGGGTTGTAATGCCAGTTCAAGTGAATCAAGAGGTTGAAATCCATCAGCACGATCAAAGATCTACAACTTCCAATCAGTTTGACCAAAGGTCCAATGCACACAATGCTGACCAAAGGTCCGTCAATGTGTATCAGCAGAAAGTGCATCAGCATGACCAAAGGACGGTTGCTTTGGATAACCGTAGCATGCAAGTTGGTATGGATCCCATCCTTGTTCAACAACGAGAGGGTGCATTGAGGGCTGAAGCTTTCCACGCCGTTAGTGAACTGCAATCCAGAAATCAAGAAACTGAGAGAAATGCACCTCAAACGCTCCAGCAATTGGAACAGTCTTTTACAATGCAAATGTCAAGGGCTGAAGATTTGAATCGAGAATTGATGAACGCAATAGACCATCAGTCCCAACAATTGGAAGAGCAACGGAGACGTAAAGAGGAATTGAGAAACTTGGTTGTACAGTTGCAGAATCAGTTGGTTGTTGCCAACCATGCGCCACCCGCTACTCCACCTGTAGCTCATGAAAACCAAAATGGCACGGTTTCTAACATGATTGATGTATCAGCGCTCATGAACGACATGCGTCAACTTAGAGAAGAGCTCAGGATGGTAAAGCAGTTGTCAACTACCCCAGTCACGTATCCTATGGCTCCAAATGTTTCTGAAGTACACTTGGTGCCCCAGCCCATGCCACAACCACCGTTTAGTCCAGTGTCAGCTTGTGCCAGCATCCCTCCATCCGGGTGAGGGTCACCATCTTTCACCAAGCAAACATCCAGGGGAAGTGATTCTTGGTCAATGACAACACCTACTCCGGCAGCCGGACCACCAGGATCTCCGTCGAGTTCATCATCATCAGATGGTAGAGGTCAACCATCAGGATGGCAACGGTAACCGAGGTGGTCGCGGTAATCCAGGTGGTGGACCTCCATCATCCCAAGCATCCGGTTCTCCAAACCGTCAATGGCATAGCATTGAGATAGGATCGTCAGCTGCCTTTTCGGAAGATACGGTGTAAAGATATATAATATGTCATTACAAAACATCAAAATAGATTCACTCCCCCAAAATGCTGGTGCGTTCAGAAGTTGGAGACATTTTCTTGTCACTAAGCTCTGTTCCAGAGGACAGGACATTTTGCTTGAATGGGTCTTGGAGGCCTTGGATGCGAGCACTGACCAAGCAGCTGGTAGTTGTATGAGCCCTCCCCGGATAGATGCATACATGGCCGCACTGTTGACCGAGCCAAAGCATCTGCATGGTGAGCTTGGAGTCCAATTTCAGGCATATGTCGAAAGCTGCCAACTTCGTAGAACCTCCCCACAAGGTAGAGAAATGCTCCGCAAGATTGCATAAGATTGGGTCGATTAATAAAGTATGGGGGGTTCACCTTCATGCCGTGCATGTGAAACAGCGTCTTCATCCGGGAGACACACACGCACACACCTGCATGCAGAGCTCGGTTCGATGCATTGATCAGAGCCGACCGTGTTGGACGCACTCCTCGCACACCAGCTGCTTTGACTCCGGTCCCAGAAGCCGAAGCGCCAAGCACGCCAATGCCAGTGCTTGACGAACCTGTTGCAGCGTGCCTGATGCTGACCCATCCGAATTGCCTTTTAGCGCAGGTATCCCGCCAGACCATCCAGAAGCCGCTATGCCAGCCAAAACAAAAAAGGAATTTGAGGAAATCTTTCTTCAAGCAAATGCAGAGAGAAGAAAATATCGAAGAATGTATCAATCATCAGTTTCTAATACCCTCTTTGATTATGCATGATGTGATGAACATTTTGCCATTGGTGATGTTTGTGATGAAATCGGTGTTGAAGGCATCAGGTTATCCCGTAATGTGATTGATGTGCAGGATGAGGGACATGTTTCTCAGTTGATCACTCAGGCTGATGACCACAAGACTGCAGATGCCTGGGTCAGTCTCCCATGTGCCGATTTCACACCATGGCAACACATGAACGTGCATAGGCATGGATGGGGTTTTCAACAGAAATTGGACAAGAGAAGAAAACAGGTTAGGAAAATGTTCGCTCAAGCAAAGAGGTTCATGAAGAAAATCTTAGCCGAGGGTGGCCGTGTTGACTTCGAATGGCCAGAAAACTCTGGATGGTGGAACCTGGAAGAAGTCAAAGACTTTGAGAAAGAGCATGCATTCAGAAGAGTTTACTTTGATGGATGTATGATAGGTGCTCATGGTAAAGATTGCCCCATTCGTAAACCATGGTGCGTATCTTCATGTGATGAACGAATCCTTACAATCCTGGCTGCCTATCAGTGCGACTCGCACCAGCATGAACCTGCTGAGGATAGTCAGACAAAGCAAACAGGCTTCTACACAAGACAGTTCGCATCGGTTATCGTCGAAGCATGGTATCCGCAAAAGTGGTTTCAACATGTTCCAAATCTCAGCACTTCCTCTGCAGTTGTGACCTTGAGAACCTGACAAATTCGCAATGGTCCAAGGACGAAAAGGCAATCAAAGCAGAAGCCGAAGGTTTGAGAGCCAATGGAACTTGGGATGATTCAACCGTAATTCCTGTTACTGAGCTTTGCAAACGAGCTCGTACCACAGGTGAGGACATCAAAATTGCGGACGTCCTTACTGATCAAAGACCAATTCAACCGTCGGAACTGCTACCACTCCGGCAATGCTGGCAGCGTTGAATCTCACGCTTTGGTTCGAATGCCTCACAACGGTTTTTTGTGCAGATTGCATTCAAGCTTATCTTCAGTGCTTCCTTGAAGGGAACACATGGGTGATCTTGCCCTTTGAACTACGGTTGGAAGAATGGGAAAAATCTATGATCCTTATACTCGCCTTGCAGAGAAGCTAATAAAATCGTTGTGTGGTCATCCACAATCAGGAAAGTTGTGGCAAGCCCATCTCGAAAAGCAGTTGATTGAAATGAAGGAGTCCCTTTAGAATCATATCCTCCTGAGAGCACATATGATTCAAAGAACCTCCCGAGAAATTTCAATGACCTATGACATGAGTTCATATGCAAAGGGGATTGTAAGTTTTTAATGCAACCTCGCTGTAACACCAGTAGAGAAACTGAGAAAGGTCGAGGCTCCATGTCTTCCAGAGTCTCAAATGTCCGAAGAAGAGCTTGCGCATGAAGGTGTATTGCGCAATCATGCCGCCAAAGTGCTCATGTGATGCCTTTGGTTGTCTCGTTTGGCGAGACTTGCCTTAAGTTTTGCAGTGCAAGGACTTGCAAGTAGAGTAACTCGTTGGACATTGTGCAGGCAAATGCTCAGATTAATCAGCTACGTGCACTCAACAGCTGACCGCATGATCCAGGCGACTGTCGACCCCAACGAATCTCCAGGGCTGGTTGTACATACAGATTTCGATTTTGCTTCATGCCCACACACGGCCAAGAGCACTTCAGGAGTTGTATACCTCCTGAAAACCGGTAACGCTCGATACCAGTGTTATGCTCATCAAAGAAACAGAGTTCAACAGCGAGATCAACTACTGAAGCAGAGCTAATAGCCTGTGCTAGTGCTCTATTTGGCGAAGTCTTGAATCTACATACGATGATCGAGTCGTTGGTTGGGATACATGTGCAACAGGACAATCCAGCAGCCATCACAGTGATGATCACAGGTTACTCAGCGAAGCTACGACACTGTGGTCGCGTACATCGCGTTAATGTTGCGTCCACTCACGAGCAACTGGACCAAGGGATCTTCACTCTGAGATATTGTGAGAGTCACAAAGATCATCACTCGGTCAGAATGGCAGCAAATTGCCGTAAGCCTAAGTAGTTGTAGATCGCTAGGATTCATTCAGCGAAATTGGCCAGATGTTTGCTTGACATCTTGGTCCCTGAAATTGTATATAGGGCACATGTGCATGTATAGCATGAGGAGGGAGTTGTTAATTTGCAGGCAAAACCATGCAATCATTCCACCCTCTTATGCACGTGTTGTCTTACCTCTTTTTGGGTGTGTCCCGACTTACTTTGGCTCAATTGCAGTCAAAACAAGCGTCTTGGCAGCCGTTCATTATCGCGCGCATCAACACCTAACTTGCTGTGGTTAGGTGCTTTAACTTGTCATGTTCTTATTGGGTGGTTAACGAAACGTAACACGCATTCATGTGCACATAAATAGATATATAGGTAGATAGATAGATAGATAGATAGATAGATAGATAGATAACATGTATGGACGGAGTGGTGGGTTGTGACTGCCTCTCCGTGGCTGTTGTGAAGCCATGTTGGCCTGGACGCTCCGTCCCTTTCTTGATCCTGACGACTTCAATGTCGTTTTGGTGCGTGGATTTTGATTTTCGACAGGCTTCGCGCCCTTCATCCAACCCGATTTTTTTTGGCAGGCTCATTATGAAGAAATGGCCGATGGCGAGGAGTTGAGCCTTGTGAAAATCCCTTGGGTTGTTGGCTTGTGGGATTGCCATCAGGACCTGGTCCTCCTCTTCTTGATCCAGGTATATTACTTGGATTTTTGCGTGGAGATCGGGCCTTTTGCCTCCCTCTACGGTTTGGAACAGGTTGGGTACCCCATTGCTTTTGTTTCCTGGGTGCTAGGGGTTTGATTGAGGCGGAGTTTGAGGAGAAAGTGTTCAGCCGGCTGAGGGCCGGCGTTCACTTTCTCCCCGCCTCTCCAAGCGGTTCAAGGACGCTCCAGGCTCGCCCTTGAGGAGAAGCCGCCCCTGCAGGAGGTCCGCCCTTTTTTTGTGTGGCAGGAGGTCCACCTGTCCACTGGCACCTACAGCCGGTGGGCAGACGATGAGGAGATGGCGCAGGCACAGGCATTTCTTTACAAATTTTACAACACTCGCCACCACCCTTTTCTCCTTTGCCGAGGATTGGACGGCATCGTCAAGCAAGGGAACTCAGCTGAGCGGCCAGTGTGTTGCGTGCGTGTGTTGCGCGGGCGGGTCGATAAACCACCACAACCTATGCGGCGCCTTGGCCAAGTCCCCAAAGCCCAAACGGACTTTATTTGGGAAATGCTCGTTTAGGCACAACCTTCCTGACAGACGCACAACGTGCTGTTTATTTCATGTTTCGTTGACATGTGCTCATTGCATTCACCTGTCATGGAGTTCTTGCATAAAAGAGAGAGAGAGAGAGACAGAGAGAGAGAGATAGATAGATAGCTAGGTAGATAGATAGATAGATAGATCGGTAATTAGATGAAAGAGAGAGAGAGATAGACAGATCGATAGATAGATAGATACATAGAAGATAGATAGGTAGGTAGATAGTCAGAGAAAGAGAGAGAAAAAGGGGAGACCTCAAGCACCTTTCGGTCCATCAGTGGATTCGCTCTGCCATCCCTGATTCACAACAACCAATCTCTCCTATAGGTTTCCTATTTTTGAAACTTCCGCCACCGCCTTGTGCGGTACTACTGGTATGTATATGAAGACGAACAAACATGAGACCTGGAGGAAACGATTGTGACACAGTGTTTAATTTTTTGAAAACGGTCCCTACTTTTGAGCCCCGCGATTTTGTTTTCTAAAAAACATGTGCTAAATCAGTGAAGAAGAACAAACATGAGACCTGGAGGAAACGATTGTGACACAGTGTTTAATTTTTTGAAAACGGTCCCTACTTTTGAGCCCCGCGATTTTGTTTTCTAAAAAACATGTGCTAAATCAGTGAAGACGAACAAACATGAGACCTGGAGGAAACGATTGTGACACAGTGTTTAATTTTTTGAAAACGGTCCCTACTTTTGAGCCCCGCGATTTTGTTTTCTAAAAAACATGTGCTAAATCAGTGAAGACGAACAAACATGAGACCTGGAGGAAACGATTGTGACACAGTGTTTAATTTTTTGAAAACGGTCCCTACTTTTGAGCCCCGCGATTTTGTTTTCTAAAAAGCATGTGCTAAATCAGTGAAGACGAACAAACATGAGACCTGGAGGAAACGATTGTGACACAGTGTTTAATTTTTTGAAAACGGTCCCTACTTCGCAGTTTGAATCTTGGGACCTGGGTACCCTTGGCTGGATCGTCTGGGCTAGGCCAAGCAGATGCCCGATGTTCGACGACGATTCGGAGTCCGAGGCGCTCAGCAGAGCGAGAGCGGTCTATGAGGAGATGGAGCACCTTGAGCAGTTCTAGTGGTGGAGATTCAGTTTTCCATTGTTTTGTAAGAGCCTTGTCGCTGATTGATATTCTGTATAGTTATTCTATGTTATTCTATCGTATTCTCGTTTTCAATTAAGGACTGTGTGCTCAGTAGAAGATTGTGCAAGTGAGAAAGAACCTGGCGCACTTTTCCCCAGATTATGCAGATGATTCCAGGGGCGATATTCCTGAACTCATCACTGTTGCAAATTGACCGAAGAGCCAGGACCATTGACACATAGACGTTGATGAGCAGTGCGGTTCGGGCAAAAAAAGGATAGCCTCAAGTGCAACATGTGGTAGAAATGCAAAGAACATGACCAGAGAAACTGAGACAATCACCAGTCAAAACCAACATCTGAAATTTCATCCTATTTTGTCAACTTGTGTTTCATTGCTGGAGAGGAAGTAGAGCTGTCCACAGGTGCATGAATTTTTAACTCCAGAGACACATGGGATCTCCATTGCTCACATTCTGGAAACATACGTTTGTTCGATTTGTACGGGCAATAGGTTCGACGTATTGGGAGATCTTTCCCCGAACCTGCCAACGCGTAAGATATCGCACGATTGAACAATGAAGTGAAACAAAAAATCGCAAAGCAGTCATGATCCATGCTCTGCAGCGAGCTCTTGGCGCTTGAAACATCTTGAAACCGGATTTCACAGCTACAGCTATAACATTCATCTTTTCAAAACACAATGATTTTTTCATCCTGCAAATCACAGCATACGCTGACTAGTGACTCGTGGTTTGAGGTGGTTGCAAGACATAGCCAAAACGGGCCGGCTTTTTCTTTCCACTGATTGGGCTGCTTCGCATCTTTTGCTAGGAGAGCCCGATATCAACCTGTGAAGGACAGCCGGTACAACCTATGACATTCATCACGATGTCGATGGCGCATGAGTGGCCCCCATGCACATGGCGAGTAAATGCTGAGCTGGATTCCAGCTCAGCATTTACCCGCTGGAAGCATGGATGCTTCTTGGCCGAGTATTTGATATGGTCTGTTCAATGGATGTCAACATCTATTTCTCTTCGTTTTGCCTGCTGTTCTTCTCTGTTTTGAGGCATTTGCAGCCGGCTGTCCAACTTTTGTTTGTCTCACAGCTGGCACGGCAGCTTGCTAAGCAGCTGGATTGCGAAAGGGGCTGCTGCCAGCCTCCAGTTTTTGAGGCCAGTGTGCCTCTGTCAGACTTCCAGCTTGAGAAGCTTCCTGTCCCAGAGAAGTTGAAGTCTTTGTGTTTCTCATTTTCCCTGTTGAGAATGCAAGGTGTTCAATGCCTGGAGCAATATTTGAAAAAGCATGGAACTCAGGAAATTTTGGAATTTTCAGATGGTATCTTACATCCTTTGATATCCGTGTCAAATCAGTGATATAATGACTTCATTTGTGGCCCTTTGCGGCCAAATGTGGGCGAGATTGAGAACAGTACAGTAAAAGGACGTAAAAGGGATATGACTTTCCGAAATTGCTCGACATTTTGACACCAGCCCCCCACCTCTGTCGACGCCATCACCTGAGCCTGCTGCGGGATCCTTCCCAATCAGGACCTTTTGCAAGTGGCTTCCACAGAGGAGGAGTCCGAGAAGGACACGAGGCTTTGGGCCGGTCAAGATCCAAACTGACCCTTCGTGACCATTTCATTGTGAGAAAAAAAATCCAACTACCGACTTTCAGTCAAGGGCATACTGCGAAGACATGCTAAGACGATCTATGACATAATTGTGAATCAAGCAGCTGGCTCATGCAGCGCAACTACAGCGTCTCTTCTGAACTCCTTTCCTTCCGTGCTCGGAGGCGACTCTCAGTTGGTACGACGGCTACGGGGGTCCCCGAAGAGGATGATGTGCTTCAGGAGCTTGATGAGTCTGACGAGGGGGAGGATATCAATAACGTTGATGATCATTCGGACGGAGATGGTGTTGCCCAGGCCATCTGCACAGTTTATTCAAGCTTCCAGCGTGCCGACTCGTCTCAAATTCTATCCGTGGCTGTAGTCTTGCAGTCCATGTTTGCAATTTAATGTGGCTGCGATGCAATTCTTGCTCGATCAACATCAAACCATGACCTAAGTCACTTGACATTCCAGTGTGTTTCGGCTTCTCGCCTCCACTTCACCTGGACTTTTTCTACAGGGCCTGATCGACCTAGGCATCCGCGCAGCAAGGATTGCTCAATGCTGAGTCTGAGGATGATTTAGAGGCTCCCCCAATTTCGCTGTAGAATTTTCAAATCGTGGGCTCAACCTGGAAAACGACGCAGGCACCAGAAGTGCTCAAGACTGAGTCCGAGGATAATCTGGAGGCGGCGATGTTAGGCTGTTAGGCTTCGACTGGAGGGAAACGGGCCTGATGTGCATTTCTTAGCAGTGCTCAACCTAAGGGAGCAAAACTGAACACTTTTCCTTGACATTTTGCGAGTATGGACTGGGGCCTCACTGCCTCACTCGGTTCTTTTGTACTCTGCCTCTCACTTGAATTCATTTGACCTGTGCCTTGAGGAATCTGAAGGTGGACATGAAAACTTTGCCGGCAGTGACGCTGGATGGTAGGAACATGTACAAACATAATTTGAACTTTGCCTGTTCCAGCATGGCATGCTTGTGACAAATCAATATCATCATCTCAAAGAGATGAAAACACAGTAGAAAATCAATTTGTCAAATTAAGATCGGTTCTCCAGTTGTGCAATTTAGAAGCTGTGGGGTTTCAGGGATGGTTGCAAAGATCGTTTACCAAGTTGTGGAATCAGTTCCAAGTCTTTTGAGAGTTAACTCACGCACTAAAAACTGCCCATCTTTGGTAGGATTGGAGCAAGCACGACGATAAACCAGTGTTATGAGAGCGTGACAATTGTTGTTGGTCATGCTCGATTTTTGCACCATCAGCTGCAAGGGGGTTGTGATTTTACCTACTCTGCTTGAAAAAAAATCGCGACACGATTACACGATGTGTCTGCTTCTGGCTGGCAGCCACTGATTGCCTGATTGCCTTGGTAACTTTGCACATGTACGGCGCCAACATCAGCTAGCATGAGCACCGTTAGCATCCGTTAGCGCTATCCAAGATGCAAAGTTGTGCTCTGGGAGGCTAAGGGAATCCACTTTGCACAGCCCCGCAGCTTTGAGGCTGATATCAGCTGAGGAGTTCTATCTCGACTTGTTTTCTCGCGCCTTCTCTCCCGTCAACGATGCCACCGAAAGGGATGAGCTGGGCGGATCTGGTGAGAAAAAACGGATCCAGCAAGGGCAACGGTGGAGCCAAAGGTGATGCAAAAGGCAGATCCACAGAAAGTCTGCCTTCAAGTCCCGAAATGGGACCAGACAAAACAACGGCCCCGAGTGCAAGCAACGATCTCCAGTTTTCACGTGGGAGTGTTGGCTCAAGCGGTGCTGGTAGTTCTGAAACAGCAATGCACAGGCCAGAGACCGAGCGTGCAGATGAATCCAAGGGACCTGCACACTGGAAAGAACCTGGTCACAGAAAAGGAAACAAAGGCTGGGCAAAAGGATCAAAAGGGAAGCAGCCCACAAATCCTCGCGAAGTCCGGGTGCCCAAGACCTCAGGAAAAGGAAGCCCCCCTTCTAGTCCAGAGCCACAAGAAAGGGAGGAAGCCTGCGCACAAGAACCCGAGCCTGCGAATGCCCACCAAAGTGCTGGAGCGGAGGAGTCGCAGCCTTCCAGCAAGGCTTCAACTCCGAGGGAGGAGTCGGCGCATCCCAGTGGTTCCTGCAGTGCGAGGAGCTCAGAACTCCTGGAGAAGCAAGAGCCGGAGCCCGCACAGCCAGAAGAGCCCACAGAGCGCGCAGAGCCAGCAGCGCCAGCAGAGCCGGCAGAGCGTGCAGAAGCAGCAGGGGAATCGAAAACAAAGACAGTCCTGACCGGCTGGGCGAAATTATTTGGAGGACCCAGTGCAGCAGACCCGGCTCCCAGAAAGGGAAAGAAGGGCTCTTCAAAAGGATCAAAAGGCAAGCAGCCCACAAATCCTCGCGAAGTCCAGGTGCCCAAGACCTCAGGAAAAGGAAGCCCCCCTTCTAGTCCAGAGCCAGAAGCAAGGGAGGAAGCCTGCGCACAAGAACCTGAGCCTGCGAATGCCCACCAAAGTGCTGGAGCGGAGGAGTCGCAGCCTTCCAGCAAGGCTTCAACTCCGAGGGAGGAGTCGGCGCATCCCAGTGGTTCCTGCAGTGCGAGGAGCTCAGAACTCCTGGAGAAGCAAGAGCCGGAGCCCGCAGAGCCAGAAGAGCCCACAGAGCGCGCAGAGCCAGCAGCGCCAGCAGAGCCGGCAGAGCGTGCAGAAGCAGCAGGGGAATCGAAAACAAAGACAGTCCTGACGGGCTGGGCGAAATTATTTGGAGGACCCAGTGCAGCAGACCCGGCTCCCAGAAAGGGAAAGAAGGGCTCTTCAAAAGGATCAAAAGGCAAGCAGCCCACGAATCCTCGCGAAGTCCAGGTGCCCAAGACCTCAGGAAAAGGAAGCCCCCCTTCTAGTCCAGAGCCAGAAGCAAGGGAGGAAGCCTGCGCACAAGAACCTGAGCCTGCGAATGCCCACCAAAGTGCTGGAGCGGAGGAGTCGCAGCCTTCCAGCAAGGCTTCAACTCCGAGGGAGGAGTCGGCGCATCCCAGTGGTTCCTGCAGTGCGAGGAGCTCAGAACTCCTGGAGAAGCAAGAGCCGGAGCCCGCAGAGCCAGAAGAGCCCACAGAGCGCGCAGAGCCAGCAGCGCCAGCAGAGCCGGCAGAGCGTGCAGAAGCAGCAGGGGAATCGAAAGCAAAGACAGTCCTGACGGGCTGGGCGAAATTATTTGGAGGACCCAGTGCAGCAGACCCGGCTCCCAGAAAGGGAAAGAAGGGCTCTTCAAAAGGATCAAAAGGCAAGCAGCCCACAAATCCTCGCGAAGTCCAGGTGCCCAAGACCTCAGAAAAAGGAAGCCCCCCTTCTAGTCCAGAGCCAGAAGCAAGGGAGGAAGCCTGCGCACAAGAACCCGAGCCTGCGAATGCCCACCAAAGTGCTGGAGCGGAGGAGTCGCAGCCTTCCAGCAAGGCTGCGACTCAAAGGGACGATTCACCGCATGTCAGCGCTGAGTCCAGCAGTGCGAGTAGTTCTGGACCGCCAGAGCCAGCGAAGGAGGAAGGACCTCGAGACCAAGCGGTGAACGGACCTGCAATCTCATTTGAGGATGGAACTGAAGATGGAGAGGGATCCGAGGATTTGTCCAACAAGCTAGAGTTGGACACATTTGACTATAGAACATTCTACCTGAATGATCTTCGAAATCGAGATTCGGACACAGAGCCAACAATTTACGGTTCTGATTCGGAATCCTCTGATGAGGGTTTCTAATGGTTTCTAGTCTGGTCCGGAGAAGTTGGTACTGTGCAGTACCACAGACATGCTCAGAGTTTCACCTAGCGCGTGCAAAAAAGAACACAGCTGAGAAGTGAAAAGAATGAGTTTACATGAGTTTACAACAGTTTAGAGTCAGCAAAGATACAGATCACAGACTGAGCAAAGACTAGCAAAGAAGCATTTCTCAGCTTTTCAGACACAATTCAATCGAGGTCTAGGTCTTGGACAGGAGTCCTGAATATGGCTCAAAAAGAAACGATAAGATGAAAAAAACATCAGCATCAGCATCAGCATCAGCACCACCACCACAACCACCACCACCACCACCACCACCATCATCATCATCATCATCATCATCATCATGATGTTCATCTTTATGTTCGTCTTCATTTTCATCTTGAGATAGCAAGTGCAAGCTGCCAAATCCATGAACGCTTTGATAGCACTGTTGCAGCCTTAGCAATTCCAACATTGGTTCGAGGAATGCCATTGTTTTGATTGTTTTAAGGGCAATGCCAAGAAGGGGAGGGGATAAACACTGCCTTGGAAGTTCTCTAGCAAGAGTTGAGTGCTCAGTTTTGTTTGAATTAATACGTGAAAGTTTGTTGATCCCTGTGCAGTTTTTCTGCCTCCAGGATTTGCTTGGGACTGAACCCAAACCTGAGTGATTGCCAGATATTGCCAGGCCACGTGTCCAAGCCCATGCAAGGGCACTCCCAGCTTTGCGGGTACAGGCCCGTCACGTTAAACCGAATTCTGTAATGTACAATGAAACGGACTTAGTGTATTATGGTTGTTCTATGTTGTTCTTGTCCTTGTTATTACCTTGTTTATTTTTACCTAGCAAATTAAATTGGTGGGCCGCCTGTCCAAAATTGTTGGCCATTTCCTGAGTAGTTCGCAAAGCCAGGTGAAACGACGCCAAGCTTTCAGCGTCAGGCTCTGGTTGCGGATTTTCAAGAGTCTTGACACGAGGAACTGATGAGCATTCACTTTGCATGTAGTTTTAAGATGTTTAAAGATGTTCGCTGCAACCCCTAGGTTTGCCCGCGGCCAATCCCGCATATCTTTTGACATGTTCAAATCCCTGCGCAGGGTTCAAGTTCACGAAAGGTAGCTCCAGTGCGGCTACCTTGAGTTTTGCTTTACAAAGTAAAGGGGAGGGCGGCCAGCCTCGTTACCTGATTATTCAGGAGATTGCTAGTCATTTCAGTCCCCCCCCATACCCCCACCCCCTTCCACCCTAAGAGCAGACTAAAAACATTGTAATTTACAGATATTTACAGTATTTTTTTTCTTTTCGGATTAAGAAACCACATTTTGCCACATGGTGAAACCTCTGTAAATACCAGTGTTTTTGCTAGGTGCTGGCCAAAAAACATTGTAAATACCGTGATTTTTGCTACCAGAGACAAAACACATCGTAAATACCGTGGTGTTGAGCTTCCGACCCGCCAAAAACATCGGTATTTACAGTGTTTGTTGGTCCGAGAGTTGTAAAAACACGCGAAAACACCACCTATATGACGATTTTCGGCCACTATGGAACCGAGAAAAAAAGCTGCAGGGGCAACAGCAGCAGCAGCAACAACAACAACAACAACAACAACAACAACAACAACAACAACAACAACAACAACCACAACCACAACAACAACCACAACAACCACAACAACAACCACAACAACCACAACAACCACAACAACCACAACAACCACAACAACCACAACAACCACAACAACCACAACAACCACAACATCCACAACAACCACAACAACCACAACAACCACAACAATCACAACAATCACAACAAACACAACAAACACAACAAACACAACAATCACAACCACAACAACGACAACAACAGCAACAACAACAACAACAACACCCAACAACACCAACCCGACCAACAACAGCAACACCACCAACACCACTAACACTACCAACACCACCAACAAACCCAACCACACCAGCAACAGTAACAACACCAGCAACACTAACAACACCAACAACACCAACAACACCAACACCAGCACCACCAACACCACCAACACCACGAGCACCACCAACACCACCAACACCATCAACACCACCAAGAACACTTCATGTTTGTTCCCTTGCCCTCTCCCCTTCGTTTTTTCTTCGGTTCCTTTCTTGCTCACCTACCTTTCGTGTTCCCCCTCTCAAGTTTTTACTTTCCAAAACAACAAACGAACACCAAAACCCTGAAACCTAAAACCCTAAACCCTAAATTAATACCCCAAATCCTGAAAACTTGGAGCCAAAATCACTGCATATAGCCAGTGTTTTCATTCATCCTCTGGTGATAAGTATATCATATTGTTTGGATATGTTGTTTGAGTGTGGGCGAACCAGGGGGTCGCGGGGTTTTAAGTATGTAAGTCTGATACGACTTGTGAGTGCTGAGATTGTGAAATGCTCAGCTGTCAGTGCGTGACCCTCAAGTGAAACTGCAGGTGGCATGGTGCATGGAATTTGCAGCGACATGCCACAGTTCGGGAGGTGAGCGTAGAGATGCATGAAGTACTGTGTCACAAGCTGTCCCATTGGATAAACAATAAAGTCGTAGAGGGGAAGATTGTCTTTCAACGCTTGCAACGTTGTTTTTCTTTGACAAATGGCCATGGCAGGTTGGCAAGGTGGTTCAAGAAAACATGCCTCCATCTCGTTTTGTCTAACTACGAAGAGGCCGCGATGTGTCGGCTTGCACTCTCAAATGCGTCGAAATGATTCAAAATGTTGCTTGGCTTTTGCATTGCCTGGAGGTTGTGAGCAGGGTATCATAGTGTTCTTCTTACTTTGGATCACTAGCAAAAATATACATGGATAGGAATGGATAGAAATTGATAGAAATGGATACGAATAAATACACATTGGAAAGAAACAGGCAGGAATTGACAGAAATAAATAGACATGGAGAGACTGGAAAGGGGGATGGACAGAAATGGATAGGAATAAATCGCAATGGACAGAAATGAATAGGAATGGATAGAAATGGATGGGAATAGGAATGCATAGAAATGGATAGAAATTGAAAGAAATGACAGAAACTGGAGAGAAATGGAAAGAAACGAATCGAAATGAAGAGAAATGGAAAGCAATGGATAAAACATTATTGAAATGGATCGAAACATATAGAAGTGGATGGACATGACAAGAAATTGATAGGTATGGATTCTGGATTCTCTCCACTCCCTCCACCCACTAAAGATCCGTAGAGGTCAGAAAGCGCCGTGGCAGCCTTCCTTGCCTCTGTTGCTGGGTTTCGTCACCTGGTGATGCGAGCTCTTTCGCCGCATGATGCCAGGCTTGCTCTTTGGGCTGGCGCCGAGAATCCATGTAACACCTACCAACCAAAGGAACACATGAATTTTTATGAAAGCTGCTTCACACATATATGTATGAATATATTATATATATATGTATATATATGGCACATTAAGTTCGATTGCGACTGCCGTTAACTTGCTGCTCAAGTCATGCATGGTTTTGTGGGTTGAGAAAGTTTGGGGCTGGCTGACCATAGCAAGTGAGGTGTCTCGCCTGTCTGCTTGTCCCTTCCATTGCGGCACGTCATCCATCCCCTGGTTCCTATTGGGGCTTGCTTTTGGCTTCCTTGCGGCTGCCCTGTTTTTTGGATTTCTTCTGGTCATTTGGATTTTCCGATCTGAGCTTGGTCTGTTGGTTGTTGCACGTCCGGTCCGGTCGTCGCATAGTTCCCGTCTTGCCCGATACCTTGAATGAGCTGTCCGCTCACTGCTTCTGAGATTTCTGAAGTGATTGAGAAGCTGAAGAAACTAGAGGTTTGGAAAAGGCAAGTTGAACAGGAGCAAGCAACCAGCTCTTCTGGAAAAGGGTACAAGAGAGGTGATCCAAAAGCCAGAGCCGCTGCAATTAGTGCTTCTCCGCCCAAGACAGTCTTTCCTGCGCTTCCAGTCATTGCCCAGACTTGGAATTTGGTGGAAGAGGCAGGGCCTGAGTTCATAGGCAAAGACTTTGAAGGAGTTGAAGCTGGCCCCGGGATCATTCCCCAATTGGTACTGGACCAAGCTGTCTTTGTGTCCTGGGATCAGAAGGACGCCTTGCAAAGGGTCAATTTGTGCTACAGCGCTGGTTTTTTCGCTCGGGCTGCTCTCGAGTGTTTCCTTGCTGAGCCCTTGTGCCCCCGTGACATATCCTCTCCTGCAGAGCATTTCATTGTTTTGCGTGCTGTTGGCCTCAGTGGACCTGTGCGTTTTGCTTCGGCTGAGCATTTCCAGAGATTCAAAGATCAGTCATTTGAAGGAGGTTTGATTGCTCACGGTTTTCAGACGGAAACGGAACTGCAAGTCTTTTGCCAAGGAGGTAGGATCCAGGTTCCTCCTCTTTTTGAACCATGCTCGAAAAGCACCGCATAAAACCAGCCAGCAAAGGAGACCCGTCCTTGCTTGTCTTCACAGTCCCTGCTGAGGTTTCGTCGGTAGGGGATGCAGTAGACGTGTATGCTTTAGCGATCGAATTGAGGCAAGGTGGAATGCTCCTTGCCTTACCGCATGATACCTTTTTGCAGCCTACTCTTGATGAAGGCCAGAATGCCGCAGATGATGCAATGATTGGCCCGAATTCAGTTTTTTCAGTCGGTCTCGTTGAGGAGACCGAGGACCTTACAGCTACAGTTGCTCTAGGTGTTGAGGCGCCTGTTTTGGTCGTCGATGTCAGTGACGGCATTTTGTCGTGCTGCCGAGAATATGATCCAGTGACCGACAGCTTGGCTAGCATTCTTGGATTTTCGCTTGACTTCCCCCAGAGTCTTCCAGATGTTCCAGTTTTGCTTACTTTGGTGAAAGAGTGGCTGGTGCAAAGGTCTGATGAAAGGACAGGTTTTTACACTGCTCAAGAAGACCAGGGTCCTGCTCCGAAGACACCTGCCCCAGCCGCCCCTTCACTGGCTCCTGGGAAAAAGAATACACAAGCCAAGAGGGTTACGAATACTATGATTGCGGACCAGTTGACGGCCTTGTCTGCTCAGATGATGTTGCTCTCTCAGCGTCAGGACCAGTTGGAGAAAGCCGCTTCTTCCTCTGCCGCCGATGCTTCAGGTCTTTTTGTTGGCCCTTCGTCCAAGTTGCCCGCGGTGTCTGCAGGTCTGCCAAAGCTTGGAGTCCCACAGCCTTCCGTAGTTGCAAAGGCGCTCAACCTAGTTGGACCCCCACCCAAAGTGAGGATAGGGAGCCCACCGGTAGCTGTTCCAGATGCGGAGCAAGACGAGCCCTACGATGCACTTCAACCAAATGCGGAGGAGTCTGGGAACATCGCATTGGCTATAGCAAGACAGAGCAGTGCAATCACCACCTTGGTTGCGCACCTTGCCTCCCAATCAGGCGACGTTTTAGGAGATCTGACGGCAGGCGGTCCACATTCGAGTACCACCAAAGGCGTGCACAGGAGGGAAAAGATGCAGAGCGATCTTGCCCATGGAAACAGTTCCTTTTATTTGCAGATGATGCAGCAGTTGCACAGGAGGTTGCACCCAGCCAAACCTGTGCCACAGACGGAAGCAGAGTTGCAGCAGCTGTCCGTTCTGCTGTATCTGGAGAGGCAGGGAGGTTACAAAAATCAAAGGGAAATGGGCCTTCTTGCATGGATCGTAGGTCATGCGCTGGACGCTGCGTCGAGCGGAGACTTCAATCGTACGAAAGAAATTCTGGCCTTGATGATGGTATCCCTGGAACAATCGGTAGTAGATCGAGGAGATTGGTCATTGGCCTACATGCTCTGCCTGCTGGAAGAGCCCCCGTTGCAAGTATTCCAAGAAAGGAACACCAATCTGTTGCACAATGCTCGTCCCTTCGGGCCACTTGTCCCACCTCAGTGGATGGCGGTTTGCTTACAGTATCTGAAAGATTTGGAGGTCCTTGCAACGAAAAAGAACGAGACATCGAAAAAGGCAGGCAAAGCTCCCACTCCTGCTCCAACAGCAGCACCATCAGGGGGCCCAGAGGAGGAGCCTTCCCCGAGGAGAAAGCCGCGTTTTCCAAAGCGGCCAAAGGCAAAGTCCACACCGGATGCATGAGTCAGGACCCTGGGTCCGGGTCTGTTGCAGAACCCAAAGATGTTACGGGCAGACCCCATAAATTAATTAAAGGTGGACTTTTAAATAAGAGTAACTTAGGTAGCTGCCCTATTTGCAAAGTACAGGTTTGTGGTGAGTTCCCCTGCAAGAAATGTGGATTTCATCCAAACACCAAGGTTCCCGGAATTCATTTGAGCACAGATTTGGACACTCTTTCATTTGCCAAGTGGTGTTCTTTCTTGACGACATCTGTGCTGCGCACCAGAACGCCCTTTTCGATTTTTCTCCGTGCTACTTTGCACTTAGAACGAAGTATGGTGGCTTCGTCATCGCCAGCTTTTCCTTTGCCATTGCCGTTCCCCGGCGTTTTTGCAAAGATGCCTCCAGGTCTGTCTGCAGCCAAAAGACGTAGGTGCCATTTTAGGCGTGCTCTTCATGTCTTGATCATGGCCTTAAACTATTGGTGGTCAGGTAGCAATTTCATCCCCATGGAATTTCTGGAGAGGGCTCCTTCCTTGTGCCAACAGCGGATCTTTCGTAGGTTGGCAAGCCTGATGCTGGCTGATGGCCCCCGGGAGTCTTTTGAGACTCTTAGGAGTGGTCGACGTTTTCCCCAATTAGTTGCGAGACTCTCTGAACTCTCAGATGCTGTTACTAAACTTGGAGCAGGTGCCAGTGCATATGACAAGACCTTTGCTGGGCATGAAGTTCCTCTTGACAATAGCCGCTTTGAAGAGTTGGAGCCATATAGGTCTTTGAATGCCAGTCGTTTGAAGGTTGTTGGTGAGGGTTTGCTTGATGCAACACCATACCTTTCTCCCGAGCTTTGCATGGCCTATCGCTTCCCAGATGCTCTTCTTATGGATAGAATCCCGAAGGCTTTTGAGTACTCCCAAAAACTTGACCTAGTTGAAGAAGTTGTGGCTTTGGCAAAAGTTTGGGATGCCAGAGGACTTTTGCACATCCATGACGTTGACGTTCAGAAGTGTGCCCGACATGAGTTGGTGCGTGTCTTCAATTGTTTGAAAAATGCACAATGTGACAGACAAATTGGTGATAGGCGTGGCCGAAACGCAGTTGAAATGCGCATTGCTGGTCCGTCTTCCAACCTACCTACAGGTGCTGACCTCCTTGACCTTGTCATCGACCCTAAGCTGGAGACCCTCTCCATAATCTGTACGGATAGGACGGATTTTTATCATCAGTCTGCCACTTCTGCCAATAGGACCATCGCTAACACTGTTGGACCACGTATTCCCTTGGATTTGCTGCGTGATACTGAAGCCTTGAAAGCCTTTGCCTCTGCGAAAAATGCCAAGAAGCCGAGCCGCTTGGTAGGAGGTGATGGGTTGGGGTTTTCCAGTAGGCAATCCTTTACTAGATGCCCTGATGGTTTTGTCATGGCCTCTTTTAAAAGTATATTCCAGGGTGATCATGCTGGAGTCGAAATCGCTACATGTGCCCATGAAGGAATCCTTAGGTCTGCTGGTCTCTTGCAAGATGAGTGTCGTATTGAGGGCAGCCGGCCCTTTAGAGGCCAAAACATCTGCGAAGGCCTGGTGATAGATGATTATTTCGCCATTGCAAAGGTGCGCCATGGACTTTTGGTTGACCCTGCTGTTGAGCGTTTTAAATCATGCAAAGAAGTCTATGCAAGCCTAGGGATTTTGGGTTCCGATGACAATGACGTGTGTGGAGCCCGAAAGGCAAAAGTAATTGGAGCTTCAGTTGATGCGTCACCTGGCTGCCAAGACAGAGGTCATGTCCTTATTGCTGCGCCTGCTGCAAAGCGATATGCACTTTCCTGGATAACCCTCCAACTGTGCCAACTTACACATACAACCGATGCACTGCACCTTTGTGTGCTGGGTGGATGGACATCAATTTTGCTTTTCCGCAGGCCTTTCATGTCCCTTTTGCAGAAAGCATTTCATGTCGTTGACGTCTCGACTTTTGTTGCATCCAATCCAAAGTTGGTACCTTTGTCCAGACCCGTTGTTACCGAACTGGTCCTGCTTAGCATTCTTGCCCCCTTGTGTGTTTCAGATATTGCAGTAGGATTTTGTGACCGGCTTTTTGCAACTGATGCATCGCTTGCCAAAGGTGCCATAGTCAGTTCTGAAGTTAGCCAGCAGGTCATCGAAAGTCTTTGGAGAACATGTAGGTCAAAAGGAGGCTATTCCAAACTTCTGACACCTGTGCAAAGTCTCCTTTCCAGATGCGTTGACTTTGAGGAGATTGAGCAGCATGCTGATGAGGTGGTAAAGCGCCCCTTGGCTTTCAGGTTTGATTTCATTGAAGTCTTTGCTGGAGCCGCTACAGTCACTGCTCATATGGCTGCAAAAGGCTTCTCGGTGGGCTGTCCAATCGATCTGAGTCGTGACCCTGAGCTCGATATGACCAAAGTACATGTACTTGAGTGGTTGCTGCACCTAGTGATGAACCAATATGTTAAAGCAGTCATGGTCGAGCCACCCTGCACAACCTTTAGCATCATGAGAAAACCACCCTTGCGTTCAAAGCTTTTTCCATATGGTTTTGATTTGATGGACCCACAGACGCAGATTGGGACCTTGCTAGGGTATCGAGCCTTTCAGATTTTGAAGGTAGGTGCTAGGTGTGGTATCACTGTTGTTCTGGAAAACCCTTGGTCATCGATGATTAAAAATCTGCCTCCTTGGGAGGAGCTTCTTGGCCATCCGGAGTGTGAGCTTGTGCGCTGTGACTCCTGTGCCTATGGATCTCCACACTTGAAAGCGTTTGCTTTTTTGTGCGTTTGGGCTGATACCAGTTTCATCTCTCTGCGCTGCTCAGGAGGACATAGTCACGTGCCAGTTCAAGGGGCCCTGACCAAGAAGTCCGCCATCTATGTGAATGACCTTGCCGAGGCTCTTGCAAATGTCATGGAAAGTGGCATCATCAGGTTGGCAAGATTTGAAAAGGAACTTGTGCCAGAAGATGCCCTAGGTCTTGAAAGCCAGTTGATCAACGAGCTTGCTCTTTCCAGTACCTGGACTTGTGATGCAGTTTGGAATTTCAGGATTACCGCCCATATCAATCTGCTTGAGCTTGAAGCTGTTGTACGTCTTGTGGGCCGTCTGATTGCCAAAGGTATCAGCAAGCGTGTCGTCGTCCTGGTTGATTCTAATGTCATTAAATGTGCTGCTTCTAAAGGTCGGTCATCCTCACGTGCGCTGGCAAGGGCACTCGCGAAGCTGGCTGTTTTGTCGATTGCGGGTGGCCTCTACCTTGTCTTTGGGTTTTGTCCTACTCGTCTTAATCCTGCTGATGACCCGACCAGGGAAGTGGAGTTGCGGGGCTCTATCCCGGGCATGGACTTTGCCGCTTGGGACCGCTTGGATTTATATCGACTTGCCTCCCTTCCAAAGATGCGTCGTTGGGCCTCGAATTGGGTCAGGTTGGTCCTGTGTCTTTTGGGGCCGGCCGGCCTTGGTCTCACTGACCGTTCTGTCCATCGTGTTCCTCCTTTTCCCTATGGTTTGCATGTTGCTGCCTCTGCTCCTCCTGGCGTGAAAACCGTGCCTCCGTCCATGGATTTTGACTCGACATTGGGCTATCCAGGCGAAGGTCCTCCTCACCTCACTTGCTTTGGTCTGCCTTGGTCTCGGGCTTTGTTTCTTGTGATGTTTTGTTTTTTACGTCTCACTCATGGCGTACTGGTTCCACGAAACGCTGGAGATATACAACGACTGAGTTTACGAAACCAAAGACCTCCGCTTCCTGAAGGCAGACCTGTTCTGGGGATCACATCTCAGCTGAGGGTCTCGCATTTGGAGCAGTTCAAGTCTTGGCTTTTTTCTCTGGGTATTTCTTTGGATGATATGCTGGAGCAACATTTCACTCGCATTGACGAGCTTAACAAGAATCTAGTCAGGTATGGTCGTGCCCTGTATGCTTCAGGAAGGCCTTACAACCATTTTGCTGAGACCATTAATGCTGTAGCATCACTGAAGCCGGTGGTGAGGAGGCAACTTCAAGAGGCGTGGAATCTAGCTTTCGCTTGGCAAAGAGATGAGCCCTCGGTACATCACATTGCAATGCCATGGCAGATTTTACTGGGAGCGATCTCGACATGCCTTTTTTGGGGGTGGCTGGATATGGCCGGAATGCTTGCCTTGTCGTGGGGTGCGTTGTTGAGGGTGGGCGAGTTCCTTCAAGCAACTCGTCGTGACTTGTTATTACCTGTGGACACCAATTACACTAACAAGTTCGCACTACTGGCTCTGCGAGAACCCAAGACAAGGTTTACAGCAGCGAGACACCAAAGCGCAAAATTGGACATTCCGGATCTTCTTCGAGTTGTTCACCTAGCATTTGCGCATTTGCAACCATGGCAAAAGCTTTGGTCAAAATCTGCTCAAACGCTGCGCTCTCGTTTTAGAGATCTACTCTGTGAACTTGGGATACAGTCTTTGCGGATGAATGGTAAAACTCTTGATTTGGGGTCTTTAAGGCCTGGTGGAGCAACTTGGATTTTACAGCAAACTGAAGACAGTGAGTTCACAAGACGTCGTGGACGTTGGATAAATCAGAGAGTGATGGAAATTTACATTCAAGAAATTTCCTCTTTCCAGTACTTGTCAATTGTCCCTCATAACTGCAGGATGAAGATCTATGCTTTGTGCGATTCTTTCTTGGCTACATTGGAGGGTGCTGAGACCTTTAAATCTGCTGAGATACCTTTGACAGTCTGGTTTCTCGTTTGGCAAGGTCAAGTTAACCGGAAGTGATGGGAGAAGTGGGTGAAGTTCTTTCAGTGCTGGTCCTTTTATGACCCAGCCTTGTCTGAAAGTTGTGTACCTTTACTCACTGAGTGCAATCAGCAAGGAAAACATGCGCGGGAGCTTGAGACCTTGGCACATTAAGTTCGATTGCGACTGCCGTTAACTTGCTGCTCAAGTCATCCCACCCGGATACTTGGGCCCAACCCCTTTCACAGACCTGCCAAACGGGTGAAGTTCTTTCAGTGCTGGTCCTTTTATGACCCAGCCTTGTCTGAAAGTTGTGTACCTTTACTCACTGAGTGCAATCAGCAAGGAAAACATGCGCGGGAGCTTGAGACCTTATATATATATTAAATAAAGGAAGTTTGGAAGTCAAACTTCCGACAATATGGACAGATGAAAAGCAGAGATGGGCAGAGTCAGAGAAGAGAAGAGAAGAGAAGAAGAAAGAAAGAAGATCAAAGAGAAAGTCTCCGAAGAAAGAAGATCCAGGTGCCCGAAAAGCTAGGAAAGTCGTGAAAAGCTTTGTTTTTCCACCTATGACATATTCGCACCATAACTAACCTGAACAAAAGGAACACATGAAAAACTTATGAAAGCTGCTTCACACATACCTACATACATACATACATACCTACCTACATGCATGCGTGCATGCATACATACATACATACATACATACAGAAATACATACATAAATACATAAATACATAATTGCACCTTACCAAAAAATACGCACGTCATCACATGTCAATTACTTTAAATCTTAAAGTAATTGACATGTGGTTAAATTTTAAACCCATTTTGGATTATTTTGAATCCGGTTCCTGAGGTTTTGCCTCAAAGTGAACCAGTTCAGCAAGATGAGGAGGAAGAGGAGGGAGTCATGGAAGTCTCGGAGGCGCGCAGGGATGACCGGGACTTTTGCCAACAGTCAAGGAAGTAAGAGGTAGTAGCAGGTAGTTGATTGCAATTGAAAATTCTTGATACTTCTTGGTTGTCCGTGGTGTAAAGCCAGTCGTCCAACTCCTATTGAAAGACATCCTTTTCCTTTTGGTGATGTCAAACAAACATACTTGCTCTTCCTGGCTTCGACTGGAGGGAAACGGGCCTGATGTGCATTTCTAAGCAGTGCTCAACCTAAGGGAGCAAGACTGAACACTCTTCCTTGACATTTTGGGAGTATGGACTGGGGCCTCACTGCCTCACTCGGTTCTTTTGTACTCTGCCTCTCACTTGAATTCATTTGACCTGTGCCTTGAGGAATCTGAAGGTGGACATGAAAGCTTTGACGGCAGTGACGCTGGATGGTAGGAACATGTACAAACATAATTTGAACTTTGCCTGTTCCAGCATGGCATGCTTGTGATATATCAATATCATCTCAAAGAGATGAAAACACAGTAGAAAATCAAATTGTCAAATTAAGATCGGTTGTCCAGTTGTGCAATTTAGAAGCTGTGGGGTTTCAGTGGATGGTTGCAAAGATCGTTTACCAAGTTGTGGAATCAGTTCCAAGTCTTTGAGAGTTAACTCACGAACTAAAGCTGCCCATTTTTGGTAGGATTGGAGCAAGCACGACGATGAACCAGTGTTATGAGAGCGTGACAACTGTTGTTGGTCATGCTCGATTTTTGCACCGTTCGCTGCAAGGGGGTTGTGATTTTACCTACTCTGCTTGAAAAAAAATCGCGACACCGTTACACAATGTGTCTGCTTCTGGCTGGCAGCCACTGATTGCCTGATTGCCTTGGTAACTTTGCACATGTACGGCGCCAGCATCAGCTAGCATGAGCACCGTTAGCATCCGTTAGCGCTATCCAAGATGCAAAGTTGTGCTCTGGGAGGCTAAGGGAATCCACTTTGCACAGCCCCGCAGCTTTGAGGCTGATATCAGCTGAGGAGTTCTATCTCGACTTGTTTTCTCGCGCCTTCTCTCCCGTCAACGATGCCACCGAAAGGGATGAGCTGGGCGGATCTGGTGAGAAAAAACGGATCCAGCAAGGGCAACGGTGGAGCCAAAGGTGATGCAAAAGGCAGATCCACAGAAAGTCTGCCTTCAAGTCCCGAAATGGGACCAGACAAAACAACGGCCCCGAGTGCAAGCAACGATCTCCAGTTTTCACGTGGGACTGTTGGCTCAAGCGGTGCTGGTAGTTCTGAAACAGCAATGCACAGGCCAGAGACCGAGCGTGCAGATGAATCCAAGGGACCTGCACACTGGAAAGAACCTGGTCACAGAAAAGGAAACAAAGGCTGGGCAAAAGGATCAAAAGGGAAGCAGCCCACAAATCCTCGCGAAGTCCGGGTGCCCAAGACCTCAGGAAAAGGAAGCCCCCCTTCTAGTCCAGAGCCACAAGAAAGGGAGGAAGCCTGCGCACAAGAACCCGAGCCTGCGAATGCCCACCAAAGTGCTGGAGCGGAGGAGTCGCAGCCTTCCAGCAAGGCTTCAACTCCGAGGGAGGAGTCGGCGCATCCCAGTGGTTCCTGCAGTGCGAGGAGCTCAGAACTCCTGGAGAAGCAAGAGCCGGAGCCCGCAGAGCCAGAAGAGCCCACAGAGCGCGCAGAGCCAGCAGCGCCAGCAGAGCCGGCAGAGCGTGCAGAAGCAGCAGGGGAATCGAAAACAAAGACAGTCCTGACGGGCTGGGCGAAATTATTTGGAGGACCCAGTGCAGCAGACCCGGCTCCCAGAAAGGGAAGCAAGGGCTCTTCAAAAGGATCAAAAGGCAAGCAGCCCACAAATCCTCGCGAAGTCCAGGTGCCCAAGACCTCAGGAAAAGGAAGCCCCCCTTCTAGTCCAGAGCCAGAAGCAAGGGAGGAAGCCTGCGCACAAGAACCTGAGCCTGCGAATGCCCACCAAAGTGCTGGAGCGGAGGAGTCGCAGCCTTCCAGCAAGGCTTCAACTCCGAGGGAGGAGTCGGCGCATCCCAGTGGTTCCTGCAGCGCGAGGAGCTCAGAACTCCTGGAGAAGCAAGAGCCGGAGCCCGCAGAGCCAGAAGAGCCCACAGAGCGCGCAGAGCCAGCAGCGCCAGCAGAGCCGGCAGAGCGTGCAGAAGCAGCAGGGGAATCGAAAACAAAGACAGTCCTGACGGGCTGGGCGAAATTATTTGGAGGACCCAGTGCAGCAGACCCGGCTCCCAGAAAGGGAAAGAAGGGCTCTTCAAAAGGATCAAAAGGCAAGCAGCCCACAAATCCTCGCGAAGTCCAGGTGCCCAAGACCTCAGGAAAAGGAAGCCCCCCTTCTAGTCCAGAGCCACAAGAAAGGGAGGAAGCCTGCGCACAAGAACCCGAGCCTGCGAATGCCCACCAAAGTGCTGGAGCGGAGGAGTCGCAGCCTTCCAGCAAGGCTTCAACTCCGAGGGAGGAGTCGGCGCATCCCAGTGGTTCCTGCAGTGCGAGGAGCTCAGAACTGGAGAAGCAAGAGCTGGAGCCCGCAGAGCCAGTTGAGCCAGCAGAGCGCGCATAGCCAGAAGCGCCAGCAGAAGAATCCAGGGAAAGACAGTACTTACTGTCAGTACTGACTGTCAGTACTGTCTTTGCCTTGGATTCATCTGCCGGCGTTGCTAGCTCTGCACGCTCCCAAAAAGGGAAACAAAGGCACACCAATTTTTGAAGTGCCCTTGTTTCCCTTTTTGGGAGCGTAAAAGGAACCGGCCAAGAAGCCCGGGTGAAGGGGGCAGGAAAAGGAGGGCTTCCTTCAACTTTGGAGCCAGCGCCAAAGATCACGGAGGCAGCCAGTGCTTTGGCGGGGAAGCAGGAAACATTGGAGTCCCAGCCTTCCAGCAAGGCTGCGACTCAAAGGGACGATTCACCGCATGTCAGCGCTGAGTCCAGCAGTGCGAGTAGTTCTGGACCGCCAGAGCCAGCGAAGGAGGAAGGACCTCGAGACCAAGCGGTGAACGGACCTGCAATCTCATTTGAGGATGGAACTGAAGATGGAGAGGGATCCGAGGATTTGTCCAACAAGCTAGAGTTGGACACATTTGACTATAGAACATTCTACCTGAATGATCTTCGAAATCGAGATTCGGACACAGAGCCAACAATTTACGGTTCTGATTCGGAATCCTCTGATGAGGGTTTCTAATGGTTTCTAGTCTGGTCCGGAGAAGTTGGTACTGTGCAGTACCACAGACATGCTCAGAGTTTCACCTAGCGCGTGCAAAAAAGAACACAGCTGAGAAGTGAAAAGAATGAGTTTACATGAGTTTACAACAGTTTAGAGTCAGCAAAGATACAGATCACAGACTGAGCAAAGACTAGCACAGAAGCATTTCTCAGCTTTTCAGACACAATTCAATCGAGGTCTAGGTCTTGGACAGGAGTCCTGAATATGGCTCAAAAAGAAACGATAAGATGAAAGAAACATCAGCATCAGCATCAGCATCAGCACCACTACCACCACCACCATCACCATCACCACCACCACCACCATCATCATCATCATCATCATCATGATCATGATCATGATGTTCATCTTTATGTTCGTCTTCATTTTCATCTTGAGATAGCAAGTGCAAGCTGCCAAATCCATGAACGCTTTGATAGCACTGTTGCAGCCTTAGCAATTCCAACAATGGTTCGAGGAATGCCATTGTTTTGATATGTTTTGATTGTTTTAAGGGCAATGCCAAGAAGGGGAGGGGATAAACACTGCCTTGGAAGTTCTCTAGCAAGAGTTGAGTGCTCAGTTTTGTTTGAATTAATACGTGAAAGTTTGTTGATCCCTGTGCAGTTTTTCTGCCTCCAGGATTTGCTTGGGACTGAACCCAAACCTGAGTGATTGCCAGATATTGCCAGGCCACGTGTCCAAGCCCATGCAAGGGCACTCCCAGCTTTGCGGGTACAGGCCCGTCACGTTAAACCGAATTCTGTAATGTACAATGAAGCGGACTTAGTGTATTATGGTTGTTCTATGTTGTTCTTGTCCTTGTTATTACCTTGTTTATTTTTACCTAGCAAATTAAATTGGTGGGCCGCCTGTCCAAAATTGTTGGCCATTTCCTGAGTAGTTCGCAAAGCCAGGTGAAACGACGCCACGGATTTTCAAGAGTCTTGACACGAGGAACTGATGAGCATTCACTTCTGCATGTAGTTTTAAGATGTTTAAAGATGTTCGCTGCAACCCCTAGGTTTGCCCGCGGCCAATCCCGCATATCTTTTGACATGTTCAAATCCCTGCGCAGGGTTTAAGTTCACGAAAGGTAGCTCCAGTGCGGCTACCTTGAGTTTTGCTTTACGAAGTAAAGGGGAGGGCGGCCAGCCTCGTTACCTGATTATTCAGGAGATTGCTAGTCATTTCAGTCCCCCCCCATACCCCCACCCCCTTCCACCCTAAGAGCAGACTAAAAACATTGTAATTTACAGATATTTACAGTATTTTTGTTCTTTTCGGATTAAGAAACCACATTTTGCCACATGGTGAAACCTCCGTAAATACCAGTGTTTTTGCTAGGTGCTGGCCAAAAAACATTGTAAATACCGTGATTTTTGCTACCAGAGGCAAAAAACATCGTAAATACCGTGGTGTTGAGCTTCCGACCCGCCAAAAACATCGGTATTTACAGTGTTTGTTGGTCCGAGAGTTGTAAAAACACGCGAAAACACCACCTATATGACGATTTTCGGCCACTACGGAACCGAGAAAAAAAGCTGCAGGGGCAACAGCAGCAACAACAACAACAACAACAACAACAACCACAACCACAACAACAACAACAACAACAACACAACAACAACAACACAACACAACAACACAACAACACAACAACACAACAACACAACAACAACAACAACAACAACAACACAACAACAACCACAACAACACAACAACCACAACAACCACAACAACCACAACAACCACAACAACCACAACAACCACAACAACCACAACAACCACAACAACCACAACAACCACAACAACCACAACAACCACAACAACCACAACAACCACAACAACCACAACAACCACAACAACCACAACAACCACAACAACCACAACAACCACAACAACCACAACAACCACAACAACCACAACAACCACAACAATCACAACAATCACAACAATCACAACAATCACAACAATCACAACCACAACCACAACAACGACAACGACAACAACAACAACAACACCAACAACACCAACAACACCAACTCGACCAACAACAGCAACACCACCAACACCACTAACACTACCAGCACCACCAACAAACCCAACCACACCAGCAACAGTAACAACACCAGCAACACTAACAACACCAACAACACCAACAACACCAACACCAGCACCACCAACACCACCAACACCACGAGCACCACCAACACCACCAACACCATCAACACCACCAAGAACACTTCATGTTTGTTCCCTTGCCCTCTCCCCTTCGTTTTTTCTTCGGTTCCTTTCTTACTCACCTACCTTTCGTGTTCCCCCTCTCAAGTTTTTACTTTCCAAAACAACAAACCAACACCAAAACCCTAAAACCTAAACCCTGAAACCTAAAACCCTAAACCCTAAATTAAAACCCCAAATCCTGAAAACTTGAAGCCAAAATCACTGCGTATAGCCAGTGTTTTCATTCATCCTCTGGTGATAAGTATATCATATTGTTTGGATATGTTGTTTGAGTGTGGGCGAACCAGGGGGTCGCGGGGTTTTAAGTATGTAAGTCTGATACGACTTGTGAGTGCTGAGATTGTGAAATGCTCAGCTGTCAGTGCGTGACCCTCAAGTGAAACTGCAGGTGGCATGGTGCATGGAATTTGCAGCGACATGCCACAGTTCGGGAGGTGAGCGTAGAGATGCATGAAGTACTGTGTCACAAGCTGTCCCATTGGATAAACAATAAAGTCATAGAGGGGAAGATTGTCTTTCAACGCTTGCAACGTTGTTTTTCTTTGACAAATGGCCATGGCAGGTTGGCAAGGTGGTTCAAGAAAACATGCCTCCATCTCGTTTTGTCTAACTACGAAAAGGCCGCGATGTGTCGGCTTGCACTCTCAAATGCGTCGAAATGATTCAAAATGTTGCTTGGCTTTTGCATTGCCTGGAGGTTGTGAGCAGGGTATCATAGTGTTCTTCTTACTTTGGATCACTAGCAAGAAGATACATGGATAGGAATGGATAGAAATTGATAGAAATGGATACGAATAAATACACATTGGAAAGAAACAGGCAGGAATTGACAGAAATAAATAGACATGGAGAGACTGGAAAGGGGGATGGACAGAAATGGATAGGAATAGATCGCAATGGACAGAAATGAATAGGAATGGATAGAAATGGATGGGAATAAATAGGAATGCATAGAAATGGATAGAAATTGAAAGAAATGACAGAAACTGGAGAGAAATGGAAAGAAGCGAATCGAAATGAAGAGAAATGGAAAGCAATGGATAAAACATTATTGAAATGGATCGAAACAAATAGAAGTGGATGGACATGACAAGAAATTGATAGGTATGGATTCTGGATTCTCTCCACTCCCTCCACCCACTAAAGATCCGTAGAGGTCAGAAAGCGCCGTGGCAGCCTTCCTTGCCTCTGTTGCTGGGTTTCGTCACCTGGTGATGCGAGCTCTATCGCCGCATGATGCCAGGCTTGCTCTTTGGGCTGGCGCCGAGAATCCATGTAACACCTACCAACCAAAGGAACACATGAATTTTTATGAAAGCTGCTTCACACATATTTATCAAGATATTATATATATATACAGTATTCGAAGGAAGTTTAGAAGTCAAACTTCCGACAATATGGACAGATGAAAAGCAGAGATGGGCAGAGTCAGAGAAGAGAAGAGAAGAAGAAAGAAGATCAAAGAGAAAGTCTCCGAATAAGAAGATCCAGGTGCGCGCAAAGGGAGGAAAGTCGTGAAAAGCTTTGTTTTTCCACCTATGACATATTCGCACCATAACTAACCTAGGAACAAAAGGAACACATGAAAAACTTATGAAAGCTGCTTCACACATACCTACATACATACATACATACCTACCTACATACATCCATGCATACATACATACATACATACATCCATGCATACATACATACATAGATACATACATACATACATACATACATACATACATAGATACATACATACATACATACATACATACATACATACATACATACATACATACATACATACATAGTTAGACTTGGGCTTGCTCATCTTGGCTATGCCCCGAACCCCACAACCCTTTCAACCATCTTTTACAAAAGCGCCCATAAAATTCTAGCAACATACCATTATAAATTTTTATAACAGTCTCAGCATATATTTTATACTAAATTTTATGATATAATATTATATCATAAAATTCAATCATAAACTTTTGGATAAAATATTACGGGCGAAGTTAGGTTCATTCAATATTTCATCCCCAAAAATTATGTTATAATTTCTGTGGTAGTTTTATGGGCAAGGTTATGCTTATTCATTTTCTCTTTATATGCTCCTTTGTCAAAATATGTTTATGCCAATTTGAAGTTAATATACTCAAATTACATTTATTACATTGAAAATATTGTTTTCCTAAAATTGTTGTCTCACCATCTGGTTTTTCTTCGTTTTCATATTTTTCTGGATGTTCTAGCCTATTTAGTCTGTCTAAATGATATAATGTTATTTCGTGCTTGTTTTTGTCTCTTAATTTGATTTCATAATTGCATATTTTACAAAAATGCGTTTTCATTCTATATTTGTCGTTTGCTTCTTTTGTTTTTTCAGGGTTGTTCTTCTTATGTTCCTTTCTCAATTCTTGATAATGCTCCCATTTTCTGTAATATCGGTTTCTTCCTTTTTCCCTGCATTTTGTGCAGGTTAAGAAGCCCTCTTCAAATGCTTCTACTGGTTTATTATGCTGACATTTTTTACACATTTTTTTATTATCCATTATATATATACTCTATATATGATGGTATGCCTTTAAGTGTAGATTTTGCCCTAAATATTTTTAATATCCATTATTTACAACTACAATTACACCTACAACAATAAGCAACAATATTCTCTAATGAGTGTGGCAACTCATTATTTTTTCTTTGACAGGTTAAATTACTATTTATATTACCTCTATTCATAG